TGGAAACCAGCTAGCTACAGAGCTACAAACAATCTTCTTTCAGATCAGCGGCTTTCTGCCCCGCCCCCTGGTGGCTACAAGTAGTAACTACAACTAAAATAAAGCTAGAAAAAATATATCAGAGATGCGCTTCCTGTGAACTCTTTCAAAATAAATTACAAAAACTAAAACCACTCCGCTGTTGTTTGAATCAATTTAAATGGTAAGTTAAGAGGAAATCCAGCTGTTTTTTTTTTTATAAATCAATCAATAAATTAAATATATATATTTTGATTTAAAAACAATTAGTCTGAATATCATATTACATTCTGTTTTAACATGAGAGAAACACAAGCTGCTGCACTATAAACAGGATATTTGTTTATATTAGATGATTCTGCTTTATTATATTTAATGATTTCTAATAGATAATTTCATTAGAAATATTTTATTAATGATAAACTATTAATTAAGGAATTGATTGTTAATTAAATAGGTAATAATAATACAAAAAGCTAAACTGCGCTCAATTTAAACTACAATTATTCATCCACATTTTTCACACAGCCAGAAAAAAACATTTCTTTAGAAGAAAAATCAATATAAACCAGATAAATCTGCAATGTAACAATTTTTCTGAGGTCTGAATAACATGAAGCACCACAGTACAGATCCATGATGTGACACATTGGCTCCAAAGTTTCCCTAAAATTCTCTTAATTGATACATTTAGAGCTTAGACCAAACAAACTCTGAGAAACATTAAAACACGACAAATAAAAGATTATGAAATAAACCTTCTTCATTGGAGAGACGAAGGAATGACCTAAAAAATTATTCGATCTTTTTCCATAGATTAACTAAAAATAATTAAAATCGCTCCCTTTCTCCAGATAAAATAATGAATGACAGAAAAAATGTTTAAGATCAATGTGTTTATGGGACACCCAGCTGTAAACCTGTTAAAATAGGTTTTAAAAAGTCTCTGGCTTCTTCCCATGACCTCATATTGCAGCTCCTTCCTCCTGATCCTTCAGCTTTCATGTTGTCAACAGTAAGAACATTATCCAGGGGAGGAAAGGAGCTCCGGACTGCTGAGCTGAATCCAGACAGCCTTCAGCCTTATGAACATGATTCCATAACAGAAACCCACATGAACTGGGTGTGCTGACAGCAGCCCTGGAGGACTGGAGTCTGAGAGGGCTGCTCTAATGCAGCCCTCTCAGACTCCAGTCCTC